TTGACTGACCAATAAGGACCCTGTGCATGCGCAGGTTATAGTACCCTTCTAGTATACCTTACGGGTCGGTAAAGAGCGTCACTATAACAAAACTTATATAGAAAGACACGGGGATGTACATAACTTGACTGACCGATAAGGACCCTGTGCAGGCTTGCTTGCACAGGTTTTAGAGCCCTTATAGTATACTCTACGGGTCAGTAGGGAGTATCGCTATAACAACATGTATGTAAAAATGTACGGAAATGTACATATCTTCTACACAAACTGTCATACTCCGTGACGAGACGGAGTAGTACAGCGCTGAGCACGTGTGCGGGCTTACTCGTTGTTTGCAGTGGTTCACTGCCGTACAAACTCTGATACTTAATAATAATAAGTTTATATTATACACTAGCTTTTCACACTTGGTTTCAACGTGGGACATAAAAATCGCCGCACTCGTACGCCGAAAAGTATTTCGATTTTATAAATAAAGGATACGTTTATGACGTACGGTGCCTGCCAGAAACTACCACATTGAACATCTCTCTCTGCTTTTATAAATGACATATAGGCCCGTTTCCTGACTTGTCATACGGTTGCGGCGCGGTATCGGTATTCTCGGTACACGCAGTACCGCGAGCCTACCGAGCGTGGTATAGACAGGTGGCCTACCACAACCACTTAAAACAATATTACTTTAACCTTACATTGACTTTTCGTACCATGACGCGCTTAAAGCAAGCTTATTATAATGTTAGAACTATGATGTTTTATTGGCAGCTTTGTGGCTATTCATTCACTCAGTTCGTACTATGAAGTGATTTTAACATTAAAGTAATAATGTTCTCATGACAAATTTAGCACTCTTGAAATAGTTACACGGATACAATGGAAACAACATTATTTTCGAATTTATTCTCTAAATGTTGATTTGTAATGTTTATAAGTTAAGTTGAACTTATTTATTTTGTATATTTTGTTTATTTTTTTATGTAATAGTGCATAGGACATAAAATCTCGTTAAATAAAAATACGCGATGTTTATTTCGTAAAATTATGACAACGCCATCTATATGCTTCTTGGCGACACTAACACTTCACACTAGACTATAATTCCGAATTCACAACGCGACAATCAAGATCAGCCTGTTTTATTTATTTTTCTTCATGAAAATGCGGAAAAATAATTGAAAACAACGTAATTTTAATAGATTTCATTATTACATACTTCCCTTTTTTTGGCAGGTAAAATTCTCTGAAAGTAAATAATATTAAGTACTTTAACATTATACTACGATAGGACGATTCGGAACATCAAAAAAGAAAGAGATGGCATTATACAGTTTATATAGCGTTATTTCTTTCCTATATTTAGTAAGGAATAGACAATATCGGTAAATCATTCGTTCTTTCAGTCACTTTAGCAATAAAACATTACTTCGTTGATAGGTTTCTCATGGTACGAATATGAGTAATATTATTATAAGCTGACTATAAGCTTACATTGAAACAAGATTGTTTTTTGAAAGGTTATGGTAGACGGGTAAAGTGTATGGTAGGTTTGTCCTGGCGCCACACGGCCGCGTGATATGCAAGTACACATGATGGCGTGCAGAGACATAAATGTTAATTTAATATTGGAAATTGAAAAGTATCCAGTATTGTAATTATAGACGAGATGTCTTCATCACTCGAGGATAATATTCTCTCCCAATGTTACAAGCGGTACTGCAGAATTTTGCACTGAGAAAAATGCCAACATGTGCGTTATAGTCTTTGGGTACCGACAAATCAGAAAACGGCCTTAGATGGTAAATTCTGTCAAGAAGGAAATAGTTGACAACGATTTCGCCATCGATTAACCCGTCACACGTTCTAATGACACACGGTGTCCCTAACGATTTGGTGGTTTTTTTTTCAATAGTAATTGAATAGAGCTACGCTTTAGAGACACCGTTTCGCTCTAGTAGCTACAGTGCCAAAAACGTTAGGGTCACCTTATGTCTTTAGAAGGCGTGACAGGTTAATGAAGAAGTGGCAAGAAAGTCGCAAACGTTGTATAAATACGCGAAGGAAACTACAAAGAGACTGATACACTTGTAGCAATTCACTAAACCAATTTACCTACTGACTTGATCAAAAGCCTGAGCTCAGGCATAAATATGCCAAAAAGTTTCTTGTTTAAATTATTTTACTAAACCAGTTCAGGAGTTTGGTCAAATAACTAGTTTTGTTGAGGAGTTTAAGCATCTAAGTTAAATACATATAATAAAATATATCTATATTTCGCTTTGGAATTGCTTCACTGGGACGTGTTGGTATTGGCAAGGCCATAAGTAAACCGCCGTAAGTTTGGCCCTCTTAATGATCGGTTATGGAAATCGAGATTAAAAATATAAACAAACCACTGTTAACGTGTCTTCTCATAGATCATCAACATTTTTCTTTCAAGTTCGTAATAAATCTGTTAAGACAGTATGTACGAGTATGTTTATTTCTTTTTTACTATTTTTTTAATTATTTATTTCTTCTAATAAAACGCACTGTGGTGTGAAATACCATAATAAAGAACAGGCAACAAAAAGTTGTGTATACACGAAACATTGCCATTAAGAAAAAAAAGGACTTTAATTTAAATTTCTACCAGTTTCTCTCAAGAGAGGGAAAAGGTATTAATTTTCATTATTAATGGTAACCATAAAGCAAACATGACTGTGAATCAATTACAAAGGTCAAATAAATAAATTAATCCCTAGTTTCATCCAAAGAATATCATAGGTAGCTTTCATCATAGGACGAAAGTTATAATATCATATTGTATACAGCCGAGCGCACCAACCACCCTGCGTGCCATCAGGAGGACCAAGCTTACGGCACAGATGTCCAAAATCCTATCAGATGTAATAAATATTTCGAATGAAGTTTAGAAAGTGACAGGTTTTAAAAGTCTAAACGTGGGACGAAAACTACCATGTTCCAATTTGTATGGTTTTGGATAAAAGTTACTTCAGCTTTTCGATTTTTATACTTAGAATACCTGGTGGTATGCGACACGTCTATCCATAACAATTGTTGTGCCATTCGGAGCTTTAAACACCTTTAAACACTTAGGGGCATTGTTGACAGTCCCAGGTATGCCTGCGTTCCACCAACACCCTTCAAAACCGGAACGCAGTAAATAAACATGGTGGCAATGGTTCCAAGGAGGAATTTAAAAACCTATTTATGCAGATTTTCCAACATGATAAAATTACTTCAATTTCCAACTTAAGTAACTTATGAAAATAGAAAATTTACGTAAAAAGATTGTAATTTTTTCTTTGGTAATTCGCATTAGTAACATCCAAAAATGATTTTATATGTAGTAAAAAACCAGCTGTTGATTTCATGGGATATTTTTGACGACTTCAAAGAAGGAAGAGGTTCTCAATTGGACTGTATTTTTTTTGTGTGTATTTTACGCGATTACTGTAGCATTTGTGAATCAAATTTTGATGATTATTTTTTTGCTGGAAAGTGCGCACCTCAGTATTGGTTCCATTTAAATTTGAAGAAAATATTGAATATTTTCTTGACCAGTCGTCATATTCGTCATCACCGTCACAATCAATTCGTTTTGTATCATATAGAAAAGTGGTGATTTATAAATTAAATAAATTTAGATTAATAGGAAATGAAACTATTTTTCCGGATTTAAATCGCGTATATTTGTTTTTTCAAACAAACCGACGTTTCGGGCCCTTTACAGGTCCCATGGACTTTTCACAATTATAGAAATATTTCACAATGTTTTCTTTGTAAAATTAAAAATAAGGTATTTAATTAATAACTATTGTAACTATAGTGAAAAAATAGGGTGGTTTGCATTAATATTAGACATAACTGGTTGAAGACTGTACCACCTCAGTCAACCGTGACCATGGGACCTGTAAAGGGCCCGAAACGTCGGTTTGTTTGAAAAAACAAATATACGCGATTTAAATCCGGAAAAATAGTTTCATTTCCTATGTGTAACAATCGCGAAAACCTAAGAACTCGATAAATTTAGATTAAATTATATAATTTGTCTAAAAATATTCTCTCACTGAAAACGGGTGCGTGTGTTTGTGTGCCTATGTGTGTGTTTGTATTTTTTTGTGTGTTTGTGTGTGTGAGTGTGTGTTTGTGTGCGTGTGCACATGTGTATGTGTGTGTATTAAAACAGAATAGGTATATTAAAACGCACCACTTACTAAGCTTCATTCGAAATGTCACAACTGAAAGAACTTTGGAAGACTGCGGCGGTTTATCTATAAGCGACGAGACTGACTCTAATAACCTTTGGAATAATTAATAAGTACTTCTAGTTTATTTTAGAATTTTTTTTTCACCTACTACTTTACACATGCCTGTACTTGATAATCATTTGAATCATCACACTTAATAAACCTCTACAGCCTCATATCCAACTGCACCAAACTTAAGTACGTCTTAAACCAATGCTTAAATTGAATAAATACTCTTAACACAATGAGTTAAAAGTGTCTTTTGCATTGCAAGCACTGGCTTGTGGACATTAGTACCCTATATTAAACTTTCTACGGACAACATAAACTACTGACAAACTGGGACTAACATTTATTTGGGATTATAAGGGGAAAGCTTTAAAGGATGGTGAGTTATTTTTGGAGCAAGTAACGCCAATCCAGTATTGGCTTTTAAAATCGAACTTTTTAATTCAAAAATAAATAAACACCCTTTAATAGAACAAGACCGATAAGAAGGGAGAAGATCGTTATTGAAAGCTTTTTCGTTTAATTGTTTTCATGCAGGAAATATTTCAATAGAGGGGGTGATGTAGGGCTCAATTTCCAATTAGAATCCACTTAAAAAAGAAATTCTACACATACCACATAAAATCATTTGGATCAATCCTAAGAGATGTCTTAAACTTGAGATGTTGCATAGCAACGGATTTATCCCATGATGTTATCATTTTTATGTTTCTGGAGTAAACTCATGTTATGATAACTGACCTCGTCTGTTGATAATTGAGGACTCTGGATACCTTCTTGATTGGTGGAAAGTATTCGAAGGTCGTAGGTGTTATTTTCCCCCGACTCCAAAACAACACGCGGTGGTTCATCTGAAATAAAAAAAATCATCAGGACCAAATCGTTGAATCCCTGATTTTAATTCATTTGTGGTTAGAGTTGAACCAACTGAACATCTATCTAATTTCTTGTTGGATGAGTATTCGTTGAAAAGTGTCATGTACCGATGTTTCCGAGCCCGGCTACCAGACACCCGCGTTGCGTCACACGTAGCAGACAATACGTGCAAGTAATAAATTAGTCTAAATTGTTTTAATATATTACTATACATGGTAGTCTATAAGGTATATATTTAGGGGTCTTTGAATGAATGTTATTAAATAAAATAAAATAAATTTGTTATAATTATGATTACAAAGATCGTAATTATAAGTTAGAAAAAACTTCTTCGATCCGGCCGGATTCGAAGCGACGTCTTTTGGCAAACTGTGCCAGACGCTCGGCCAACTAAGCCACGGAACGAACTAGCGGACTTGATGAATTTTTCTATGTCCTTGTTGTCGTATCTTTGTACTTGGTTTTTCAACGACTTTTAGCGCCATGTATGAGAAATCTATGAAAGAATTTAGTTTCGGCTGGGTCGCTATTCAATGTATTTAAATTTTTATTGAATTGAAAAATAAAAAACGATCGAAGGAATTTTATTTTAAGTGTTCAATCTTTGTATTAATAATTATAACAAACTAGTCGAGTAATTTCACAAAAAAAATGCAAAAATCAATTTAATAAAAATTTAAAATAAATTTATTTGGTGCGTAATCATACCAGTTCGACGATTAAGTACGTCGGGTCCTGTCGCCATTTCGCCAACTGGAGTGGGAGTAGGCACAGCGACTACCCGCCGGCGACCCTGGTTGTCCACCTGCACCATGCTCTGAGATGGACCTTTGTTGCTTGATGCTGATGAGAGCTTCCTCCTCCTGGGTAACAGATATCTTTCATAAAGAATCTTCACATAAACTTAGGAAATGAAACTATTTTTCCGGATTTAAAACGCATATTTTGTTTTTCAAACAAACCAATGTTTCGGGTCCTTTACAGGTCCCATGGTAAGCAGTCAATCGTGGCCATGGGATCTGTAAAGGGTTGGAAACGTTGGTTTGTTTGAAAAAACAAATATACGCAATTTAAATTCGGAAAAACAGTTTCATTTCCTATGTGTAACAATCGCGAAAACCAAAAAACTCGATATTCACATAAACTTTCTACAAAATGCAACGGAAAATAGATGGAAATTCGGTAACTCGCTAAACTGTTAGAATCTTAAACGCGTTTTCCAGTAGCTCATATTACGTCTGGTTAGTGTTGTAAAAGGAAAAGTATTATGTAAAGTAACAGGATCTAATTTAGAATGTCAAATAAGTTGATTGTGTAAATTGTAAATTATTTTCATGACACTGGCATTGATTTCAAAATCGACCTCTTACATGCTCCAGCATTAATGCGTGGTTTATACTTTCGAAGTCAAGTTTTTATGTCTTTCTACTTTAAACTGTCAATTATAATTCCATAAACCATATCACAAAGGCGTTTTAGTTCTGAATCAAAATTCTATTGTCTGTGGTACTCGCTACTCATCTGAAAAATTTCATAATAATAAGTTCCAAAAAAAAGAACGCCGTATTTTGGCTAATTGAAATATCATATTTGATATTTCAATTTATTATTATTTTGGCGTATTTTGGCTTAATGAAATATCAAATATGATATTTCAATTAGCCAAAATAATACACGCCACTGTAATATTCTACTGCCCTCCCGGTTGATTAAATTGGCCTTAGGCTGCCTTTTAACCAGGGATGTGCGAGGTAACGAGTCGAGGATGTGTTACGGACAGTTTTCAGCTATGCGCGGGCGGGGTACGGTGAGGTGGGGTGAGCGGTGGCGATGTGTCAGTGTCAGTTAGAGTCATAATTTCAGTAGCTCTAGTTTCCTACACCGTTTTGCACACATTCGTCGCCCGCATCTCTTGCACACATTTCTCGCTATTTTGTATTTACAAATACGTAGCTCCGCTAGCCCTTTTCCGCCAGAGCTGCGCTAAGCGAGGCTAGGAAAATGAAGTAATCCTATTGGTGGATTTTTTCCTCGCACACTGCCTCGCTACGTCGCACATGTCTGGTAGAAAGGCCGCCTAAAAGTCTTACAACCGGGCCATAAACCTTTATAAAAAAAAAATCTGGTCAATCAAAATGTAAGCGGCACTTAATCACTTCTGTTCCATCTTTTTGTTTTGTAGCGTTTGTTCTTAGAATAACAACGCATAGAAACCCAGCCCGCACACGTTAAGTGAGGCAAATTGAAGCGCTCCCAAAGGGCCTGCACGAGCGGGCGGGCCTTCCGTGCTCAAGGTCAACTTGCACCGCGAACAGCTCCAGAATTTTAGCTAAAAATGACGAAATGTGCGGTAAATGAGTGTAAAAATACGTCAGACAAACATTAAATAGATACTAACATCACATTCCACAAGGAAGTAACGCGTTCCATTTTGGATTTTGTATAAATATTCACTAAAACCGAAAATTAACCTACTAATAAAACTAGCCTACATGAATTTGATTTTTGTCTCACTTGTGACAGTTCGTTTGATATGAAACTATCATTCTATGCGTTATTATTCTAAGCTTTTGTTTGGTTTTCGTTGGATTTGGTGACTTGTTAATAAAATATACATTAATTCGATATCTCCAATTAAATTCTACGCCAACTTAATTTTTGGACCCGTTTGTTTTGATTTTTGGTTCTTTTTCATAAAATAAAAAAAAAGTACATAATTTATATTAATTCGTCAATACATAATTACAAAATACATGTTTTAGAGCTATGGTTGCATTCTCACACTCGTCAAAAAGCCAGCCCCTGACCACTTGTCGCATTTCCTCGCTGTATGGCAATGGACAATATTTGCGCCAAGAACAACACGGCGCGAAGTCATCTCCACTGTCTCCTAACCATCGTCCGCTTTCCGCTACAAACTTTTTCGCATCGCTACCCCAATAACCCGCCGTCTCGTTAGCAAAGCGGAACGAAAATCTAGCGACTTTCCATTTCCCTATTTTGTCCCGCTTCTTGCGAGCAGCGGACTCAGCAGCTGCACCAGCTGAAGTCACTGTGTCACTGAGATACAAAGCTACAAATGTGCTAACACATGTCGCATTACTGCTACGCATACTGCAATCATTACATAATTTTATCTCAAAATCTCGTACCTATTACGTACTCGACTTTAAGAATCCTTATTATGCAAGAATTGTATAAAATATTATTGACCTCGGGCTGACACTAAAGATAAATACGTTGGTGTCGTTACTACCATGAGATATTCAAAAATTTTTTTGTGTGCTGCTTCTCTACGAAGTTTGGCGATCATCATTCCGATCGTTACTATCTATCACTTATTAGCTGTTAGAACGATAAACATAAAGTTTAAAATCAAACAAATAATACCTAATTTAAAATCCACAGAAACCGACGTCAATAGTTTGCTTATATTCACTGTGTTTGTTACATCTATTTGCCAAGTTGTATTGAAATCGGTTAGTGGAGAACGGGTGAAATTCGATAAACTGGATTCATCCCCTAATTTGCCATCCTTACAGGCAGAATACTTTCTTCAAATTTGAATGGGATCACCACTGAAGTACCTCCTTTCCAACAAAAAAAAAATCATCGAAATCGCTCCATAAAATACAAAAAATACTCTCGAATTACGAACATCCTCCTTTTTGAACTCGGTTAAAATACGTTGTCGATCATCTGCTGCTTACACATTTACTCAATTTTGTCTGATCAGTCACTCTCTCTCGCAGTCACTCTATCGTGCGTGATTAGAAGCGTACGGATTACGCGCGGGAAAGCCTGTACGCGCAATCCTGCGTGATTACCTGTCTGAATTTTTTTAAGATAACGTTCTTACGCGCGCGATAAACCGCGTGATAAACCGCGTGAAATAGGATAGACCGTACGCCTGCTGAGCGCAATGTTACGGTCTTTCCCTTTTCCTTCCAACGTCACGGATCACGCGCGACAGTGTCTGTGTAAAACCCGCTAATCGAGAAAATCTCTATGCACTTTAAGACAGCGAATCTGTGCCAGAACAACTTTGGCGTCCTCACGCTGTCTCTTTAACACTTTAAGCAAAGATGCAATTTTCACTGGGGTGAAATAGGAGTTTTAACAGATCTTGCAGGCAACTTCGAGAAACTAAGTAAACGACGCTATTATTTAAATAGTGAGATAAGATAAAATAAAGTGCTTCCAAAATAGCAATAACTTCCCCATTCAACATTAACGTTTGGGGCCGAAACTTTTCATTTAATATCTATGAGTCTGGAATTCGAAGTGCAAATTGCTCCTTCGAAATGCGCTTTCATTAGAGAATTGAAGTATCGTATGTATGTTTTATATATGCACTTGCAAACACACTTTTGTATAGTATATATTAAACTATTTACACTAGAAACTATGGGCAGTGAGTTAGAACCCTATCAACTCGCCCGGGTGTTAACCCAAAGCGCTGTTTTAACTCATTTCTGGCTAAAATCGTGGGCGGATACGACGTATACGGATATCGCGCGCCTGGTGCTAAGCGACAGGCTTGTCCATAGGAGTTGCAATGTTATACAGAGCTTTAAATTGTAAAGATCCGAGGGACACTGGCACTGCACCTGTCACCCCGAGACAAATGTTGATAAGTCTCTTGTGTCTGTAATTTCACCATTACCCTGTGGCAGTACTTCCCTGGACGAATTCTTTCACAGCGAGCCATACCGCTACTGCACACTATTAATACCTGTATAAATATTGGCATCATTATGCTAGTTACTTTATAAAAGTTTGAAAAGCAGTACCTAATCTTATTTTAAGACGAAATGGTATCGTAATCGTGGCTTTGAAGGTAGTGAGGCAGACGCGGAGTAATGCAATGCACGATGTTAAACGTATGCCTTTTAGAAATAAAACATATTCTCTTACAAAAAAAAATAAGCTCCTAATCCACTGACGATTTGTATTACAGAACACGGGAAAGAAAATTTTACTGAAATATGTCTAATGACAATTGAATTAAACTGACGTAATTTACCGAGGGAAGATTAGTCATCATTAGTAATCGAGTTTCTGGAGCTCACCATCGCCATCTTAAGTTTTCATTGCCAAGTAAAAAACAAGTTTCAAAAATAATCTCTCACTTAAAACGGGTGCGTGCGTGCTTGCGTGCGTGAAGGCATGCGTGCGTGTGTGTGTGTGTGTGTGTGTGTGTGTGTGCGCGGGTGAACACACAAGCGTGTTTTGTAATTAAACCGTCGAGGGATTACTTCCAGCTCTATTTCTATGAAAAAGACTGTTAAGGCATGAATCAAGTAATTACACAATGTACGTCGTGTAATTTTAACGTCATCATTTAAGGGACACGCCCAGCAGTGGGAGCTATACGCGTTTATGATCATTTTAGCAAAGTAAGTTAATTTTTTAACCGAATGAATTCACATTGAGAATCTCCCCCTTAAAAAGGAGTAGGTTCTCAATTCCACTTCATGTTTCTTTGTATGTTACGCGATAGCGGCATTAATGAAGCGATTTTGATGATTCTCTTTTTGTTGGAAAGGGTACCGCAGTAGTGGTCCCATTCAAATTAGAAGAAAATATTCCAACTCTAAGGGTGGCAAACTAAGGGATAAATGACTTTTGAGATCGATTTTTTTAGTACTCTGTACGGAGGTTATTAACATTCCAATTTCCATTATTTTAAAAAAGGTAAATTTCGGTCCATAAACGTAAGCATCTAACTTATACTTTACAGTCGTAGCGATATGGTTTACTACTGATTTATTTAAATAACTAAACAATTTGTTACTACATTATTACGCATATTAATTTGAGCCACATAATCGACAACGTTTTCTAATATCGGGTTATTCGATAAGGACATGACAGTTTTGTATTTCAATAAAACACAGAATTATTGAATATCGAGCTAAAACTTATTCCAGGTGGAGTACACATGTTACATTTAAGAATGGAATTCTATCTCGTTCATAAGACCACCGCGAGCACATTTGCCGTTAGTCAAACAATCGATCTATTGAAGAGGAGGTCCGGTCGAATGGCCACCACGCTCATGCGATCTAACGCTGTTGGATTACTTTATATAGGGTTATGTTTGTGACGGTGTGATCTCCTTACACCTCTCTCCTCTTCTAGCTTATCATATTTTTTTATTTTACTTGTATTTAAACTTTAAATTTGAATAGTTCCATCTTCCTTCACTTTCTCATTTTGTTTTCGTACCACGGTCACTCCCAGCTCGACCGCCACAACAGTCAGAGCTGTTAATAAGCTAATCATGTGTAATAATTTATGTCTACACCCTTCATGTATCTATTTCTGTAATTCAGTTTCTCGGCCCATTTAGGGGTAAGTGCCTTAATAATAAAGTGTATGGAGTGTTTTATACTGTTATACCTGTTTGTTTTACATTTACCTTTATATTGTTACAGCCTTTCTTTAAACTTTACTTCTTTAATAAATTTTGTGGACCGGAATTTCCCCCTTTCATTGCCGTGAACCTGTTAACGGCTAGTTAGGGTTAAAACCCTTTCATGTTTAATCGTTGGTGTATGTCAACAGGCCAACAACGTTAAATGAGCTTAGGAACAGTATCAAATATCAAAAATATCAATATCAAAAGTCCGATAAGTGACGAAGAGTGGTGGAAAATTAGCCCCAAAGACGTTGCGAAGCGCTGCAAATGTGCGCGGTGGTCATATGAACGACATCGAATTCCATTCTTAAATGTAACATGTGTACTCCATTTTGAATAAATTTCACCTCGACATCGCAATTACTATGTTTTTTTATTGAAATACCAAATTGTTATCGCCATATTGCAGAACCCTTTAAAAGTAACTGTAATTTTCCTTTGTTGCCCGTGGTACTACGAGCTAAACTACTAGTAGTTACACGGGCAACAATAATCTCCCGTGTAACTACCGATAGGCCTAGTAGTACTACGGGTACCACTAGTAATACGGGCAATAACACTTTCCCGTTGAAAGGGTTGTAACCCTAACTAGCCGTGAACAGGTTCACAGCAATGAAATGGGGAACTTCCGGTCCACAAAATTTATTAAAGAAGTAAAGTTTAAAGAAAGGCTGTAACAATATAAAGGTAAATGTAAAATAACAGGTATAACAGTATAAAACACTCCCTACACTTTATTATTAAGGCACTTACCCTTAAATGGGCCGAGAAACTGAATTACAGAAATAGATACATGAAGGGTGTAGACTTATAAATGATTACACATGATTAGCTTATTAACAGCTCTGACTGTTGAGGCGGTCGAGCTGGGAGTGACCGTGGTATGAAAACAAAATGAGAAAGTGAAGGAAGATGGAACAATTCAAATTTAAAATTTAAATACATGTAAAATAAAAGAAATTATAGGATACAAGAGGAGAGAGGCGTTACAAAAAGGTGAGATGTCGGTGAAAGGAGGTCACACCGTCACACCGTATAACTACTACCAAGACAAGAAGCTTTTTATTAATTTCATAAAACAAACGAACCAAAAGCAAAACAATGCAATGAAAATGCATTTTAACTAGCAAATACAAATCAACCATTATTCTTAAGGCCCATGTAGACAGAGAGAGTTTCTCTTCTCGAAGATACGATTATCGAAAGAATATTAAAAAAACTTTCCTCGTCTGAACATTCGCAATTATCGCCCTTCCACGTGAGCGATAATCGTCTCGCCTTTGATTATTGAACGTCTCCGTGTAAACAGAACTTGAAAGGAAAAATCGTATTTCGAGTTTTTGTGCCAGCCGTTTCTACCCTTTCTATCATGAGTGCAGTGCGCGAGGGTGGTTTGATTATCACTGCTTTTCTAAGACAGGAATAGGAAACGAAAAGGAAAAAAAATTGGGTTACAAAGGTTATAAAATTTAAAAAAAATTATAAAAAAATGAATATTTCTGTACAGTGCAATGAACTTAATACTATCAGCAGTTCCAATTTTGTATGAGTTTTGCGTCATTTTGATTTTATTCATAGTCAATACCGCAGTAATTACTGAACTCGAATGGCGATTCTCGCTCTCAAAACAGTTCGAACTGATTTGTACGATAATCGTATGAACTTGAGAAAATGTCATACGAGATCGTGTTTAGATAAGCCGAAAACTGGTAAGCAAGAATCTCCTTACTACATATTTCTACTTACTTACTTACTTACTTATTTTACACAGGTAAACAGTCGAGGAGGCGATTAAATTGCTTGCAAATCTCGTACGACATAATCGTATGCGAGATTTTAGTTCTTGCCTGAATGTAAACATTATGACACGATAATCTTATGGCGATTGCTTACGATTTTTCGTCACGAAGCGTGCGATAAACTCTCTCCATCTAAATGGGCCTTTATTCAACCTTAGAACTAAGTCCAAACTCATGATACCACGAATTTATTTAACTTACCTGACAAACCACATCGAAAATCCAGTTGATGCCACCGCGGCCACTAGCAGTGCAGACAACAGCATTATGTCGTTCGCTGATAGTTCGAAACTGGTTTCATCTACGAAGGCAAAAAAGAGAGAATGATTACGTCGGCAAAATTGTTTTCACAAAAAAAAGACGTTTTCTTGTATCTTCTAGGTATGGTTTTGGATTTTCCCATACGGTCCCATTTATAAAAAAAAAAGCAGTGCATAATGGTGCACATAAATTGTTTTGTTGTAACATGAACTAGAAGCCTATTTTAAGCAGAATTTCCCTTCGTTTTGTTATAATCCGAGGTTTGATAAATTTTATTGCCGTATTTGCTTGTTGTGCAAGTTTCGGTATTGCATGAAACACCAATCAAGTCAGTTCGACATTGGTCGTAAGATGACACATCTTACAGTGCGGTACATCACTGCGGGAAACGGGAAGTCAGTCACTTGTCCGTCTAATGTGAAATTTTCATCAATAAATCGAGTGTTGGGAAATATTAGTTTTTTTTTAACCGCTCACGCGATGCGCTCCTCCTACCGCAAAATGGCGGCTATTTGGTTTCGCAAATTAGAAAAGCATTCAGTTTAAATACAAGTTTTTATAAATAAAAATTATTATTCTGCATTGCTAAATAAATACCCTGCGTACTACCAACAAACACATCTCAAATAAAATGCAGTAATACACCGCAAATCCTGCACTTAAAAAGCACTAATGAAATTTTTGGTGTACTTGGATAAATATGATATACGTTTACCATGAAATTACTCCTTAAAGTATAGTTTATAAGCATTTATACTCAGAGTAAACTTAAAAAACGCTACTTACGGTATGTTTTCAATAAATGAACACAGAAATCACCAGCCCAAACAATAACACACACGATTGTCGTGACGTATTTTTGAAGTTGTTTATGTTTTTTAAATGACAGACCCAGGCATTAAAAACTTTATGGTTTGCTAGAGTAGTTACCGAAATAGCAATTAATATTAGTTCTTTTACCTGTTATAACTTAGATATCCGATAAATCGGTATAAAATCATCACCGGCACCTCTAGGTGTGGTATGCGTCTACGGCTGCATGTATCGCGTGAGCGGTTAAAAAAAGACAAAGTCGAACGGCCGCCTAACAGTTTGTTATAAACAATATTTAAGACAAAATTATTTGACTTACTTTCTAATTCGAATTTATATCATTGACTTGCTCATGTTTCCGCAGTTTTTTTTAATTCAATTCCATTTTATTTTGTACTTACAACTGCGCAAGTACCTAAACGGGAGGCGGCATCGCCGAATATCAAGGGCTTTGTGCTACTGTATATAGGGAAGGTATTGTTATAAAACTTACCTTTGTGTTTGACGATTGGCACATACACAAAGTCTTTGATAATGACGGTGTCCGAGGCTCCGACGGCGTTGTGTGCGGTCACTCCGATCTTTTCATCATCGAAAATATTAATTTCAGCCCAGCTGATGTTCAAGCAGAAGTCCAGATCTGGCGAAAGAAATCCGAATTATAACTGTCGTATTAAAATTCTTTCAATAACTTACAACCTAAGTGCATTTTGCTTCCGAAATGGAGTTTTACTAACTTTTTTTTCAGTTACTCGTTTAAGTTGCAATTATGTTGACTTAAAAATATTTAGGTTTTCGCGATTGTTACACATAGGAAATGTAACTATTTTACCTTATCATTTGTTTTTTTAACAAACGAACTAACGTTTCGAGCCCTTTACAGGTTCCATGGTCACGGTTCACTGAGGTTGTAAAGTCATCAGCCAGTTATATCTAATATTTATGCAAAACACTTTAGGAAATGAAGCTATTTTTCCGGATTTAAGTCGCGTATATTTGTTTTTTCGAACAAACCGACGTTTCGAGAACTTTACAGGTCCCATGGTCACGGTTGACTGAGGTGGTACAGTCTTCAACCAGTTATGTCTAATATTGATGCAAACCACCCTATTTTTTTACTATAGTTACAATAGTTATTAATTAAATACATTATTTTTAATTTTACAAAGAAAGCATTTAAATCCGGAAAAATAGTTTCATTTCCTATCGATACAACTCGATACAAATCACTTTATTTTTTAAATTTCCAAAGTACATTCCATTCCAACATTCGTTAAAAAACATTCGCCTCGCGCTTATTAAGAATACTTATTTATTGGTTCCTAGAAGACACTTACCACGACGAACTTTTAATGCATTGGTTCCTACGCTGATAATCGTCACAGTACCGTCATCCCTTACGGTATAGATGCCGGGAAAGGTTTCGGTATTGTTGAGAAGCACTCTATAGGTTTTGCCGATGGTTTCAAGAGTGTAGTGTTGAGGCAGGAAGCGGTCATAGCTTCCTTTACAGCACACAGATAGGTAGTCGTCCTCCACATTACCATGACTTACGCGGGCCCATTTGCAGTTTCGCGGCTTCTTAGGCGGAGCTGCGTGAATTATAAAAAGATAGTACACACACACAGTCACAGTACATTTACTCAAATACTTTGTATGCCCGTAAAAATATACATTATTTCATTAAGAAAGAAGATAAATCCATAATATTAACCTTAAAACTAAGCCCAAACTCATGGTACCACGATTTCGTTTAACTAAGGTAAACGATTCTGTAATGGGGAACTGAGTATTTTAATTGAAAGGTCATATTACAAAATCGAAGAGTATGTTTTAGATAAAGAAGCATGGAAATACAACAAGAGTCTAGATTCCACACAATTATGATTCAAAGTGTATTCCATAGCATTTAAGTTTATTTGAAAAGAGCAATCCCTAGTTTCTTGCTCGTTCTTCTCAGGGAGGTCAGCGTAATGAACGAGCGGTAGCATAAAAAATGACGAAAACTTTATCTATGGAATATATCATTATTTGACTTTGATGTTAGTGTTACGGATCAACGCATTTACAATGTGAACAAAACATTTGAAAGCTGGAAATTTTGTGTTCGATCCTTGTATTAATAATTATAACAAACTAGTGGAGTAATTTGACAAAAATAATTAAATATCATGGTGGTCAAACATGGTAACATTCAATCAAGGGTGACGAAATATCATAAATTTCTCATAGATGGCGTTACGGTTAAAAAGTCGTTGAAAAACCAAATACAAAGATACGACGCAAGCACGTAGAGCACGTGAGGTCCGCTGGTTCATTCCGTGGCTTAGTTGGTATAGCGTCTGCCACGGTTTGCTAGAAGACGTCGTTTCTAAATCCCGCCGGATCGTAGGATTTTTTTCTAAGTGTTCGATCTTTGTATTAATAATTACAACAAACTAGTGGAGTAATTTCACATAAAAATAATTTAATCTATCTATAGAAATTTAACTTCAATGAATATCTTAAAAATTGGAAGGTGGAAATTCAAGAAAGCAAGTTAGAAATCTCACACGACTGGTTCACGTGAATTTGTGGGCTGGAATTCAGTTCAAAAAAGAACTGTACGTTTCAAAACCGAATGGGTAAGTGGGAAGTTAAGAACGTAATAAGTTTTCTCGTTACCCATTCCATATTGGCTGGAGTCGTGATTGCGACGAACTCCGGAACTTTAGCCGTATTTTAAACCTTACTTGGGAATATTCCCCTCGGTCACCAATATTCACGGAAATCGCGGAATGTTTTAATTAAGTTCTAAAATTATTAATTTACACATCTATTTCGTATCCGATTTCGCAGCTTCGTATCTGTGCCTCTGCCATGAGATTACAGCGAACGTTATCACTAGCAACCGCGTAAAAGGTTTAAGCCTATACACACGGTGTATTTTATACGCGCCGACATATGCGCGTATACGTGACGCTGACGTCCTTTAATGAATGGATTCAAATGCACGCAAACATCCGTTGCAAACTGGAAGCTTATATACTCTACTCTGCAGTCCGTATAACAAAAAGCATGCCAAAATCATTTTTTGGTATATCGTAAAAGAACCATAACTCAGTTTTAGAATATTGAAATTAAGGTAAGTTTCGATGTGTCGGACACATTAACTGTTTTTAAATAGATGATTTGGAGATCTATCTTTATGTTATTAGAAACGGATATTTGATAACTAATTACTTAACCGCGTTGTGGTTAGTAGACGGCAACACCGGAGTTTATACTTACAATTTCATGTAGTTGCTTCATTTCAAAAACTAACTGAAATTATCGAAAACTAAAATTAAAACTATGTTATCAAAATTTGCAATACATACGCGCGACTACAGCGGCGCGTACATACGTGCAGAAGACGCGTCGTCGGCGCGTATAAAATACGCCATGTGCGTAGGCTCTTATGTGCAAAATGTAGTTTCTTCTTGTGCCCACTAGAGACGCTGTATAACTTGCCATACAAAATGATGAAGTACTTTACGCGGTCTAGGTCTAGGGCTACACCTCCACGTAAAGTTATCAATGGGTCAGCTTTTGATGTCTCTCTACTGGCCTATAAAACTGACATATTGAACGATAAGCACTTTATACTAGACAAAGTGGTAAATTTTGTTGATACGCGCGATACTCTAAAACAATATTCATTGTAGATAATTTTCAAACAATTTTCTTCGACGGCTAGCTTTGCCGTGCCTGCACTCGTCTACTATTCATTTTCCTTGTAGGTGGGAGTAAAAAAATCTATCTCAGGCATTATTTTAATCCTACTCTACCCTCAGGATTGAGAATTGCTCCGTTTTGGATTCAAAAAAGCGCCTGGCTACACGATCTACTGTCATCCATCACTAATTCAAAAGTGAGTCTGCCTACCATCAATCTTAAAGAAGCGTTAAAATATATTTGCAGGTCTGGCAATAAAATTATTTCGCGTGTTATTAGCTTTTATGTCCGACGCTGTAAAGTTGATTAAATTCTTTTTTTATGAGAGTGACTAAACGTGTTCACTAAGCGACGTCACTAGATTCTGATATATATAGGTAGATTTTCGTGACCAAACAATTTACCGTCTGTACAAACATGATTTTGTTAAATAAAAAGCTATTAACATTGGAGCAGTGGAAGTGTACGTTTGTCTAAAACTTTAATTTCTATAACTTTGATCCGGCTGGATTCGAACAAACGTCTTCCAGCAAACCGTGACAGACGATATGCCAACTAAGCCACGGAACGAACTAGTGGACCCTACGAATTTTTCTATGTGCTTATTGTAGATCTTTATTTTCTGAGAAATCGTGACATTCGAAAAAAAAAATCTGTGTTACGTACAGTTGTGTATCTATAGCAACAATACGGTCAAAGTATATGAGCGTGATGAAACCAGCATGACACAGGAGGTTCTTGGTAAAAACGTATAAATTCCCACTCGCATTCCACTTGGGTGGTGGACTATGGTATTAACCCTCTCTTTAAGAGTCGACACCACAGCTGGAATTCAAATTTTTCCCATACGCTTCATTTTGCTCGGGTCAAGCTGCAGGAACACTGGCTTGATTTCAGAATTTACCTTTTCACAAACGATATTAAAGCAATTTGAAAAATGTAAAAAATAAATTAGATATAAATATAATATTTTCATAAACATTAAAATAGACACAAAAGTAAAAACCAAAAAACACGGTAGTTATCTTTTTTGTTGACTTTTAAAGGAAACCAACACTAAAACGTGTAAAAATATAGATATAGAAATATACATACTGGCCTTCACGACGTGGAAAACACAGGGTTTCTCCTGCACGCCGACAGAGTTCTTGGCGTGGCAATACAAAGTCCCGTAGTCACGGTCCGTAGTGGCAGTATAGAATAGCTCGCTAGATGTTCCCCCGATAGCGACTGTTACAATACACAGGAGATTAACAAATGGTCTTTTCGATCGTGAGTATCGACACTTACGCGTTGTGAAAGAGTCTATAATACAAGTTGAGAGAAACTAAAAGATTGAAAAAAAGTCACTTACGTACCAATTGCAATAAAATAAAATAAAATACATTAAGTACTATAGTAAAAAGTCCAAATATCCCGCAGATGAATATTCATCATGTATACAGTTCAAGATCTTGTTTTTAAGAAGGTCTAGGATAGAGCTAGTGTTACAGGTAAATGCAAATTATTCCTTGACTGTGTCATTATCTTTTTTAATAATAATTTTATCACGTAATATTTAAAAATAGAATAATACAAAATCTTAATCAACATTTTCGTAGACAAGCAAGTGTCACTGTCAGTCGGCCATGTTTTTTTATATTTGTGGCGTGATAAATTTAAATTACTATTAACAATATAAATGTTTAAGATTGGGACTGTAATGTCGGAACTAGTGGTAACCGGAACAGACTAGATGTAAGGTAATTTCTGGCTCTGTTGGGTGACAATATATTGCTCCATAATGTTCAGTTAGCCAACTTAGAACTTTAACAAGAAGTAAACAGAGCGCAAGACTACTGGATTGACTGTTAAAAGGCATCTTTAGAAAAGTTGCACGCCGAGGCCCTTTAAGTTTCTTACGACATGAAAATTCGACCTCTGAACAATTGTCAAGTAGATAAGTGACTTTGCAAATACTATAGCTTACTTGTGATTTAGAAGGTACTTCATGGGGAACATGCTCACGCGTGTGGGGCAATGGCGAATAAAAAAGCAAATCGTTATTGAATATAATAACGAGCATCAAAACTATTCAAAACTATTACAATCTCTGAAAACAATGCTATTAAAACTTGTTTTGTTCTGTAGCAATTACCCCCACTGTGGCAAATGCTAGGGTTGGCATGTAATCAGATAGTCAATTATGTAACGGTTTGTCAAGACACTATGACGTCACTTAAAAAAATACATATATTGTGGCATACATTTTAAGCTATTATTAATAATATATCATTGACTTACAATTATATGGACGTCGGGTCCGCGCTAAAAAGTGTCCGAACTTATAGGGCGTTAAAATCGTATACAGAGCGTCATTCACGCTCTAGTCTTCGTTTGTTCGACTGACAGGGAAGCAAGCAAAATTAGACAGTACTGCGATGACATTACAATTTAAATTCAACGTTTTAGCTTTTTCATATTCCTTTACATGTCACTACGTTTAAATAGGTTGACTTGGGACATTTTTTTCGTGGTTTTTGTATTAGACCCGTCGTCCATTTATTTGTAAGTCAATGTAATATATGCTTTATTTATATATGCTTATTTTGACATGGGTAATGTCCAAAGTTTAAAACTTTTGTTTTTTCAACTTGAACGCACTTTCGAAAACATTGTCTTTCGATTCACCAACTACATAATTAAGAATCTGAGTTTAGGGGAAAAGACTCTCTCGTATCACTGACAAATGGATCATAATCGAATTACGCGTAATTATCTTCTGCCATAAAACATTAACGCATGAGTGTCGATACATTGTTAGAAAACTACTTACGACCAGGTAGCATAAAATGTGTTCCACTCTTCTTGTTTTAACACTATGGGCATCAAAAGAGACGGCCATGCGTCTTAGACAGGACTTGGTACCGGTATAAAAATTATATGTATTATACTGGTATTTTCCATTACGATTGAAGTACCAATACCGGCACGGTATTGGGAAATCAATATTGTTGTTGTTGTCGTCAGTTTGCTATGTTGATTATTTAATAGTTGAATATAAACTGACGAAAGAACGGTCCATTTTATTATTATTAAATGGTTCAACTAATACCGGAATAAAATACTTGTATACAGTTGTAAATAAAAACTATAAAACACCGGATAATCAAGTCAATGTTGAGTGTGTGCGTTAATGAAACCAAAATATGTAAATACCGGTATGAATAGTATAAATTATACCGGTAGTACGTTAAATACCGGTACCGTAGTAAGGATAATAGTACCGGCTCCTGAAATTACCGAATTAATTAAAACCGGTAGCATCTAAGTACCGGCACTACAGCAAGTTTAGTGATACCTGTTATTGAAAATACCGATATACCAAGCTCTGGTCTTAGCTATTTTATTTTGTAAAAGCGCGGATTCTTGGACGTTATAATTAATTAGTCCAGAGTGGGATACACCTTAAACTCCTGGCGGGACATGGATGCTACAGCTTCTGAAGCTTCATCACATTCTTGGCTTTCTTGTATAACAAGTATAAGCTTGTTTAAAATATTTTTTACCATAGTTTTTTTATAATATCAAGTGACGGGACGAACAAGTCGTGCGCCTGATGGTAAGATACACGCCTGTCCATAACAGTTGCAGTGCCACTCAGAGCTTTAAATCGCAAGGGTCTGAGGGGCACTGCCACTGCGCCCGTCACCCTGAGACATAAGTTGACATGTTAATATTTCCTATATCTATGGTTAATACATACACAAGCTTCAAAATCCGTAACTGGACAACAATAATAAAACATCAAACCGAATATTCGAGATATTGAAACAGAAAGTCAAGAAGAGGTGTTGTCGTAAAAAAAGCACCCTGCATTTCTCCGTCAAAAGTACTATATTTATTATTTTATTTTTCATACATAGACTAGAATTTCTTTAATTGATTTTTTGCTTCGTAGAATAGAATAGAGTAGAAATAGAAAATAAAAATAGGTACAATGTATTCAACCTGCAAGCAGGTGTGCAAATATTAACTGATTTAAATATTTTGGCCTCTAAAATCAATTGCATTTCAAATTAATATAAATTAGTATTTGTAAATTCTAAATATTTTTTATTACTCTAGAAGCAATGTGTCATAAGCCATTTTGTCAATTGTGATTTAGACATAGGTCCGTGTAGTAGTTTAAATTCATTCGGTAAACTATTGAATATCTTTATGCACATGTTGAAGCAATTATACTTATAAATTAATTTATGGCATCGAGGTTGGTACAAAAGACTCATGATTTCAGCTCTTGATTGCCTTTGTATCACTTCACCTCGTGTTTTAAAACATTGAGGATAAGTGTTCACAAATACGCAGATGTACCTTATATACATGCATGGCAAAGGCAGTATGTTTAGTTTTTTGAACAATGGTTTCCAGCTAAGTCGTAAATAACTGACCTGAGATTGCTACGAATAGAGTTGGCAGTTCGTAGAAGGCACGAAGTGCCGGAAAAGAGTCCCGGAAGAGGGACAATATTGCAATCTAGGGTTTTTTTATTATTATAAGCCGATACGTAAATAAACGTCTGACTGCAATTTACACCAACATAGGTAGTAGTGACCTAGGTCACATGGTTACGTGCAAACTCTTCAAGTCGTCAGTTCCCACCGCGTTTTTTAACTCATTGTTATCCTTTCAGAACTACTAATTTCAACATTATGGGTCGTGTGGCCAAAACTGTTTTTGTTACAAGTAAAATTTATATTTATTAATACACCGTGAAAACATAAAATTATTTATTTGATATTTTTGTCATCAAATTAGATTTATATCAGCATGATAAAAAGCTGTAGGTAGAATACAGTTTAACGCTTCAGTTGCAGAACACTTGCAACGCTATTACAAACACACTGTATGGCCAGACGTCACGGTTGTAACTAGTTATGTTAGTTGTAGTTACCCGTGAGTTGACACAGAATCGCGTACGTAAAAAATGTAGAGATTTAGTTGAAGTTAAAAATACACAAGTCAAAATAAATGACTGACCAATCGCGATTGCTTAGTAACGTCCAGTAAAAATATATTGAACTAAAATAAATTGACTTCGCCAAAAGTATGCCGCGAGCACAGGACAAAAAGAATCTTGTACGTAAACCATACACACACACAGACGCCAAACTCAGGCCATTGACACACTGCATCGCGCCACGCAACACGCGATAAAAAATATTTCTGCCAAATATCATTGATTAACATATAGAGACAGATTTTATGCAGGGTGCTCATTAAAACCGTTCGCAAATCTCTTCCATTTCAATAACAATCGATTCGGTATTATCATAGTTGTCGGAACAGGTTGTCATGAATTTAAGTGCTCGTATTGCACATAAACCTATAAATCTTGTATAATAGGTTACTCAACCATCTGTTCCAATAACTAATTATGAAATGGATTCCATTAAAATAAGCCCAACTGTTTAATTATTTCAGTTAAATATGGTACAATTATGTAATGTTTTCCAAACGTTGCAATGTATTGTTTTTATTAATATGTATTCTTTACCAAATAACCAAATTATACAGCTGGGCGAGACAAATTTTGGTTTTCGCAAAGATTCGCAGACGCCGAAAAGGGAAAAAGTTACTAGTATTTATAATTTTTTACAGGTATTGTGTGCATAAGAGAGCATGCTGAAGCACATGTAAAGCGAAGCGGCCAATTGTTTGTTTTCAGTTTTTATAAAAATAACGAAATAGCCCTACACATATACGGTGTATAGTTAGCTAAAAGAAAAAAAGAATGATGTTATTTTTTGTAACAAGGCACACGGCAGTGCCGGCCAGCCGAGTAAGCGGCCAGGCACTTCCCGTATGTCTATTTAAACGTTCCACGTTTAAACCACATCAAGCAGTTTACATCAAAAACATTTCTCCTTGTAAGAATGTTTCAAATGAAGATCACAATTGAATAAAAATAAATAAACTATAAATTTTTTAAATTCATATTTTAATCCGCATGCTGTAGGCTTGCGAAGCTTATATTGTATAATTACCATTTTACTAATAAATTAATGCTAAATGATGTATTAAAATATATATGTACAAGGATATTCTAAAGAAAGTGTTGTCCTATGAAAATGTAAAAAATCGACGTTCGATACAAAGGCGGTACAGCTGTACACAACACGTTCTTGTAAACATGTGTATCACAAATAAATAAACGAAGTCGATCACTAAAACATATGTATTTAAAGAGTAATTTTTAATAGTACTTGTCTGGAATTTCAACTTTTGTATTAACGAAATAGAAAAAAATCTCACTCGCGCTTTGTACCGAACACCTAAATATTCTTTTTTTGTTATTTAAATGATTTTGTCACTTTCTATTGGTCAAGCTTACAATATATAAACAATAGGACAAAATCGATTGTATATTAAGTAGACCATTGAAGTTTCACCCTATGTATTTTGTTACTTTATGTGCAATAATGTACAGTTACAACTATCTTCGTAACATCTCTCGCTGAGCTTCGTCTTTCGGCTGTCATCGGATTTCTGACAGCTGCTTTTTGTACTTAATGCATTCTATTGAATTGTAAGTCGCTACTATTTAAAAAACTGATATTATATATGTGACAATATTTAGGAAAAAGCAAAAGTGTAACAAATACGAAGATTGCCGACAAGAAAATAATTGTACTGTACACTTTGATTGATATAATCAACAGTTTTATTATTAAAGATCAATGTTGAGAAGACGTAAGTCTTCCTGATTTCAACATTATCAAACGTGGAGTACCAAAGGGTGGAGTAACTTCAATTCTAGCCTAAAACCGTAAATAACAATACAGTCAAATATAATATGAAGCAATTTATTATAATACCTTCTAAATAGTTTAAAGTTGCGATAATTGTGAGCGAACAATGGCGGACTTATCTATTAATGATCACAAAATAAGTAATAGGAATAATAATGCATTATTACTTAATTGTACAATAGTTATAGTACACATACAAAAAGCGCGCCCTGAAGTGATGTTATAATAAAGACATTCGTATACATCATTGAATTGTAAGTGAGATTTGGTGTTAGGGTACGGTTTTTCATTTCTTTTGTGCGTAAATTTATAGTGTTGGGACGAACAAGACGTTCGCTTCGTGGTGAACGACACGTCTATCCATAACATTTACAGTACCATTTAGAGTTTTAATCACATAATCTGATAGCACTGCGCCCGTCACCCTGTGACATCAAGTTGTCAAGTCACTCCTATCCTTTAAAGAAGGCAGTTAAAGCTCACCTTACTGCTTGGTGGCTGAAATAGATATGGTGACAGTATCATCCTGCACAACATCTTATACAAGGACCTATAGTGCTACGAGAATATAATTCATTTGGGTGATTGTGAAGGTGATTCATTTGGAGGTACTTTTTTCAAAACTAAAAGAAATTAATAAAAACAAATTTATCTGGTTATCTTTATTATCATACAAAAGACCATTCTTTATTTTTTAAAGATTATTTCTGAAAAATTTATTGTTTGTTAACGTGGTCCATTCTGCAGTTCTAATTTTCGAACATGCGTCCGAGCATTTCGATTGGATTTCGAATGTTGGCTTCCAGTTGCTCAATCGTACCCGGCTTATCCGTATAGATTTTGGACTTTACATAGCCCCAAAGGAAAAAGCGTAGGGGTGTGATGTCACAAGATCTAGGCGGCCAACTGAATACGAATTTAAATAAGTAAACTACGATATCACGGACTCGTTAGTTAAGTACATGCAATATTTATTACTTTATATTCGAATTGAAAAATATAGTGCAATAGATTCTATTGAAAATCTATTTACCAGTTCCAATGGATCGTGTCGTCAGATAACTAATGTAACTGTTGTTTGTTACGATGTTCTGAATTCAAATTAGGCAGTTAAGTTTGTACTACTATATCTATATAATAAACTGAAATAGTTTTTTTTATAAAAAAATAAGTGCGCATTTGGAAAGTGATAATAAGGTCGATTAGAATTTAAAGTCGGAAAAGGAATAAAAGGAATTCATTTGAAAGTTTCAATTATGGTTCCTATTTAACAATTTCAAGTTAAACAGTCATTTCGCCAACTACAATTACTGTGGTGCCCTTCAACTCCCTTCTGTTGCTAATAACACGTCGTCATGTGTAAACTTAAAGAACAATGGCGAACTCCCATATAAATTTTTGTTGACGTAATTTGTATGCGCCTGTTTATGAAAAATATGGGATAATATAAAGTTTAAATTGTTGAAAAAATTTGGTTTTAGGTTTTTTTTTTGTAAAAAATAAGTGCGCATTTGAACTCCATCTCACCTGATGAAAAGTGATGATGAGGTCGACGATAGCATGCATACCTAAATAATGCCTATTCACTCTCGCCTTGAAAAGGTCCAAGTTATAGCGTTCGGGGAACAAGTCCGCAGGTAAAGAATTTTATTCCACTCTCTAACCTCTCGCCATATAAATGTGGAAGAGCTAAATGCTTCGTGCGAATCCTCCTCTAAGAACGCGAACGCCTCTCAGGCCGAAGCCAGGCTAGCCGAATCCGGCAAGGATATGCTCACTGTGGAGCCCCGAGAGTCGGGAGGCTCTCTAAACAATGTGACTTTACTAGTTGCGCTTTACTCGTAAGGTGCGACGTCGAAGCCCATTTGGATCGCAGAGATCGGTTAGTAACGTTTAACGCGTGCATCATGGCTCTGAAGGCCCGAATTTACCTCAGTTCGATGTCGGGGCTCCACAACATAGGGGTGGAATCCCAACCCACGTCTAGTCCCCCGATGATGGAAAGGGGAAGGCGGAATTAAATTATGCAATTACATCGGACACTCTCCGTGATATATTCTGTAGAATACCGATAAGCAGGCAACTCTACGGCGGTGTTCAAGGCTCTGCAGCTTCGCCTCTACTAATTCCGAGCCACGTATAAGCCTCTTGGCATTTCATTCATTGCCAATTGAATCCAAGGTGTCCAGATGGTATTTAGCAGATCTATTTAATTTTATTAATCAATCAATCATGTACTAGGTGTAATAGGTAGATATACTACCATTAAGAATGTCCCGTACCCTAACAAGATTATAATAAATGAATTATGTATATTGTTTATTTAAAATAATATAATAAATCCGCCAATTCTTCTTTAATATCTTCTGATTATCATTATGTACTTCTTTCAAGTCTGGTTAGTCACGCGTTACATAGGATCGAGGTGGGTGGAGAGAGGCAGTGGCAGTAAATGTAAATATAAAATACCAAAGACAAAAAAGAATCACTCATTGTTTGCGATTCAATAACCGCTCACGCGATACATGCAGCCGTAGACGCATACCACACCTAGAGGTGCCGGTGATGATTTTCTACCGATTTATCGGACATCGAAGTTTTAACAGGTAAAAGAACTAATATTAATTGCTATTTCGGTAACTACTCTAGCAAACCATAAAGTTTTTAATGCCTGGGTCTGTCATTTAAAAAAATAAACAACTTCAAAAATACGTCACGACAATCGTGTGTGTTATTGTTTGGGCTGGTGATTTCGGTGTTTAAGTAAGTTTACCCTGAATATAAATGTTTATAAACTATACTTTAAGGAGTAATTTCATGGTAAACGTTAGAACCACTCAAACGGAATATTATCATATTTATCCAAGTACACCAAAAATTTCATTAGTGCTTTTTAAGTGCAGGATTTGCGGTGTATTACTGCATTTTATTTGAGTTTTTTTGTTAGTAGTACAGAGGGTATTTATTTAGCAATGCAGTATAATAATTTTTATTTATAAAAACTTGTATTTAAACTGAATCCTTTTCGCGAAACCAATTTTGCGAAACCAAATAGCCGCCATTTTGAGGTAGGAGGAGCGCATCGCGTGAGCGGGTGTTTAGATGGGTTAATATTTCAGTATTTGCTATGAAAATTGCCACGGAATTTAGGTGTGGAGAGTGACCTAGATACGCTCACGTCTTTCAGTTCCTCTGAGAATTGCGTACATCGCCCTGACAGTGGAATTAATTGGCTTGAGTAATGGTGGATTACTTCTGACTATTTGTTTTGCCCATCATTTTAAAATAATCCAGGCATTCTTTGCCCTTTAGTTGGTTCATAAGTGTTATTTTGAGCTCAACTGTTTTATGATCAAGAAAATTATCACTTATCTTGTTCGAAAATATTTGCGATTCTCGTATAATGAAACCATCAAAACTGTCATAGTTATTCACTCAATTTTTCAGTGCGTTTTCCATATTTGCCACATACCTCAACTTCCACCACCTGTCTCGTTAAGAAAAACCGTTCAAACTTTACATTGTTACGAAACATGAATGACGTGTATAAGGAAAATTGGATTTTGTTTATATTTTTTTATAATATTTATACCTACTAAGTAGTAAACAATGTAACGATTGAGTACATTACGAAGGTATCTTAACAAATTCTAGTTTTAAGTATCTATTATTACATTACACTAGGTTAATAAAAAAGTGTTATTACAAATTACAGGCCAATTATATCCAGTGAATGAACAAAACAAACACAAAAGATTCTTAAAATAAGACACACGTGACTTGGATTTCAACAACACTAAAGGTGCTTTTCCACCGACGAAGTGAGACGAGACGAGGCGAGACGAGAATTGAAATCTCGCTTTAATCTAAAATCGCGATCAATATTAATAGCTATCACGAGCTCGCGCTAGAGCAAAACGGTTAAATATTACATTAACAAATATTACAATTCTCGCGTCGGACATTCTCCTCAGTCCAGACATTTCCGCCGAAGATGTACTAGAAGAGAATAGAAATTTTGCCACACAAAATTTTAATTCTCGTCTCATTTCGCCTCGCTGTGGAAAACCACCTTAAGTATTCACTGAGGGATAAACAATGGTTACAGATAGGCGACCGCAGATCTTCAAAACGGTTTTGATTTTCAAAGCCATACATGTAAATCAATGCCAAATTTCTGCACCGGTGAAGTGGTCGTTACTGTTGACCGAGCAATATATAACCTGTTTAACTGTATCCGCACATTAAACAAACACTGTAATGAAAAATAGTGTTACATTCTATACATAATAATATAGACTGATTGTGAAATGTCTCTCTATCACTCAAAATTAATCAATAAAATGGCAATAAAAAAAAATTAAAAACAAAATTTAGAAATGTCACTTTTGACAGAAATTTTTTAGATGGCTGCCTTAAAGATATATTGATTTACCGCGAAAAAATTGTTTATCTCAGTAGTTTCATATACTCAAGTTCTACGTGGAACAAATGTAAGGTTAACATGTCATATTTATTCCCATTACTTCCATGTAGTTTTTTTATGACTTTTCTTCCTCATCAAATCTTTACAAGTTCATTAACCCTATTTCCAAGATTAGACAATTAAACTATTGAAGAAATGTTTACAATCTAAGATCTGGCAGTATGGCCATATGAGTATAGTATGGCCAATTAGACGTCTTAGCCTGTCCGAATGTTACAATTTTGACACTTTGAAACTTTTGAATTGCTAAAACGATAGGACATATGGACATTTGTTAATTGCGATTAAAAAACGACTAACCATAAAATACTTTAAGTCCGCCGATCATCCCCAGGGCTTTTTACCATACATTAGAGCTTTTCTTCCCCCCGGTTTAAGAGGATGTTGACAACTGTATTTTATGCAATCGACTCAAAAAATAAAAAATGTCATCATAGTAAGAATCCTGTAACTACTGATCATTATTTAAATTGTATTTTTTATAATTAGGCTACGTCTTAGCTGTCATTATTACTGATTACTTTGTGTCCGGGTTTCTCATTTCAGTGGGAAAAATATTGCTTGGCACAAATCGGTTTAAGCTCTGGAAGATTTATATTAAAATTTATATTCGACATTTTTTAATTGAACACAGCGTATTAAAACTTACATTATATTTTTCCATTTCAATTATTAAATGTTTAAATTAATTTTGAGGCTGATGTGCAAAGCAGTTTACTATGATTCGAGATGCATTTTGCAGTCTGTGCATAAAAAAGAAATAAATTAATTTGTATTTGGATTTTTGTTTCTAAAGGTTGGCTAGTAAGTAGAGCTTTCATCCCGGGAATCTCGGTATCGAAAAGTTCGAGAATCTCGACGAAAGTTTGAATTTTCGATACTCTATTACTATATTAAGATTGTTTTAAGTCTTGAGAACATCGAAACTTTTGAGATTTACGTCACTTGATTAAACTGTGTTAAAAAATCTGTATAAAAAGAATATTTTTTTGTTCTGGTGACATGGACATGACAACACTGTAGAGTTGACTTAGGTATAATACGTGGAGATTGAACAACGATAGTAATAATCTATCTGAATATCATATTAAACGCCCTTTGTTTCTTAAGTGCACACCTAAATATGATGTTTTTTCTATTTTTTTTCACACAAATTACACCCAAACTCACGAGACAAATAAATGTAAGCTATACAAATATTTCTTTTAGCCTGGAAATCAATGTAACTGTTCGGCCACTGAAGATAGTTGCGTTCAATTGTCCTTTTCGTCTGACATTGTAAAAACAACTGATTCGACTACAAGAGAATGGTGGTCAGTTAGTGACAGGTAATTAATATCGGCATATTGAAAATCACAAGTAACATAAATCAGTTTTGAGCAATATTTAAAATCTAGTTTAATGTTACGATTGTGACATATATACATCTTCTCGATGAGATACACATATTTTCTTGTCGACTGTACCACAGTACCTACCAAAAATAAACTTGTAAGAACCGGGGTATCAGGTGGGAATAAAATATCAATATTTATTCTTGATCCACTGCATTGGGATCCGATGGGAATATAAAATAGTTTAAAATAAAACGGATGCCCCAGGGGATCGGTTTTAGGGGATCAGATGGGCGACGATGATTTACTTGACTCCTTTAATCGAAACTAAGTTTATATATAATAGCACATATATAGAAATCATTGCACATTCACTGGGTTTCATTCCGTCAATTTACAAGAAAATGCAATTCAAACACTTTTTTACTTGTTAAATATCTTAAGGTCTCTACATTAACAGTTAAATTATTCGTTTCTAAAACTATCAGCAAGTGATCACGACTAGTTTCTGTACTTTTCTCGAATTAAGAGCATTTGAGCTATCCAGTTTGAGTATCTTCTTATACCGATGCTATTGTTAGTCTAGCTGAGCACCCTAATTTTCCAAAACGTACTTAAAAGTTTACACAATATTTCCATTATTTAATTCGTAGACACTTGCTGACATTGTGTTCGGACATTGCGGCTGCAGCAATAGACTAGCTTCATATTACTCATCGTCAAGAGCGCGTTTAAGATTTAAATTAAACTTTATGCCGCTTGCCATAAAAACGGTCCAAAATCCAAACTGATTTGCTCTGAGAAGAACTTGACTTATAGCATCACGCTGAAGATGCTGTAAGTAAGTGTACTTCGTTTCAATCCAATTTAAACAAAAAGCAAACAAACCAGTTACTGACCCCACCATTGACGTTTTAGTGATGGCCAATTTTACTGCAAACTACAAATCAATTAATTGAATGAATAGATTTGTTTAATTGAGTCATACTAGCGGTTTTCATTACATAACCTAAAAAAGCGTATTTAAAATTTCCGAAATCTTAATTTTAAATCCGCTTTCAATTCCTTACAGTTATATACTGGTTCCATTGCGACTGACATTTTCGATTTACTAATCGACTACAAATACTTTAATTGAATGAACTGAAAGTTTTGTCCGTACAGCGCTATGCAACCATAGACTTTTCATACATCTTTAATTAAAAAATAATTTCACTTTTTAACTACCATTTTCCGAGATTTCACGATGTTATTCAATATTATATTGTTGGAAAAATGTTCGAAATGTACGTGAAAGTGTTAATTATTCGATTTATTGAGTGATTGCTTACAAATTCAACCAAAACGTTTTGTTTACGTTTCGTTTCAAATGGACTGGAATAGACTATGACCAAGTTAGTGAAAAAGGCGAGCTAGTGCTGCGATGTGTTGTATAAATTGCTACAGCCGTATTCCGGATATTTGATCGAGTAATTAAAATACGGAAACCATTTAATCTTGGAGGACTTACCGAAACGGGCGGTAGATACTTCGAAAATTTCATTGGTGTTGTTAAATCTCCAAATAAAAATTAAATTAGTAGGGTCAGCGTCGACGGTGCAGCGTACGCGTATTGTTTGGTACATCACTACACCGACTATAATAACGTGCAAATGAGCACAAACCGGAACATCTATAAAAAAAAGACTTTTAAATCAGTCTTCTCGAATATTACTGCAAAACTTAAAACTAATGGAAACTTACATTGGACGCGCAGGAAAACAGCCTTGCTGGTGGCCTCCCCTTCGGAGTTAACGGCGTGACACGAATACAGGCCGGCGTCCTTCTTAGTTACCTTCTGTCGGACTAGCAACTTGGTTGATGCATGTTTAGCCTCAATGGCCACGCCCTAACAACAAAAAATACATATTAATTAAATTTTCATTGAACATAACTATCTTGAATTTGTTGTAAGTCCCTGCCATTTGAGATATATTTGGATTATATAAATGTACATGTATGTACTAAGACGCTTGTTATATAATAATTTATTTTTACATTCTATTAATACGATTTCCTCATGTTAAACAAACGAACGAGGCTTATCACGAGCAAGCAACCTAGTTGAATATATTATACTGACTCATGTGTAGGTGTGGATAGGTGTGCTCAAATAGATTTTAACAACGCTTGCGATAGAGTGATCAAAATTATTCTCTGTATTAATTATTTTTTTATTGAATTGATATTCAATTATTTTTTGTGAAATTACTCCACTAGTTTGTTATAATTATTAATACAAAGATCGAACACTCAGAAAAAATTCCTTCGATCCGGTCGGATTCGAACCGACGTCTTCTTGCATACCGTGCCAGACGCTATACCACTATACCAATTAAGCCACGGAACGAACCAACGGACCTCACGAATTTTTCTATGTGCTTGCGTCGTGTCTTTGTACTTGGTTTTTTATACATATATTGCTAGAGAATTTAACTCAATGTATTCTAAATGATTTCGGTTATTTTGCCATTGGTCCCATTTACATTTAGTAGGTCCGCAAAATCTTTTGATGAACTACATTGTTTGTATCACGGACGCTAAAAAAATACAAAACTCGAGCTATAAAAGCCTAATAGAGAGCCTCGTTGGTAATTTCCTATTTAAAGTCCTTAATACACAATGTACTTATTTTATTTACAAAACTGTACATTAACTGCAACCTTCAAGAGCATGTTCACATGAAGAGCGTTCAACAGGAGATTCGCTAACGCACTAACTAACTCCCTACCAAATTTTATACGTAAATAGCAAAAAAAACTGTTTGATGCCGCGCTAACGCCGGGAATTTGTAAATGCGCGTTGACAGCCGCTTTGAGATTTGAGATTGAGGCGTAAAGACGCCTCGAAAAGTACGGCAGACGTATAATCTCAAAGCGGAACGGATTTTTTGCGATTGTGTATTAAAAAAGAAGCGAAAAGCGTGCAAAATATTCGGCATTAGAGCCGATGTACGACTTCGTACCGGTCGTGGAAGTAACGGCGGGACCCTGAGGTTCGAGAACTCGGGACTTATTATAGAGTTGGGTCGCCGACTTAGGGCGTGTTCCCATTATGTCGTAACGTTATATTTGTCGTTGGATAACTGTCGCGTCTAGCCTCACATATCACGACTATCTGTCGTGACTGTGTCGTGGACGTTTATTTCACCGTCGAATCGTTGTCTATTTGTTCCCATTAGATTGTGACGACAAGTGTTATCGGTCCACGTGCAGACAACTATAAATAAATCGTGACGACAATTATCTGTCGTTACATTTTCACCGTGACGTTATATTTCGTAGGATGACTGTCGTTCTTGCTCTTCCCATTGACTGTCGTCGTAGCGTCAAAAAAGGCGTGAATGACTGACTTAATCGTGTTGTACTAGAACAACTTCATTAAAATATACAACACACGACACTTAAAACTGCACAACTATCTCTAGTCACGACATAATGGGAACGCGCCCTTAGAGACAAAGGCTGCGGTCACCGCTCTGGGTCGGGGTTGATTCGGCAGGTGTCCATTGCTGTTCAGCGAAGTAATGCTAATAATAGTAGTAATGGGTACATTTAGAGTTGGACACGACACAGGGCGAAATTTTTTATTGGGTTAGGAATATTTGCCGAAATCTCTTGGTTTTTGTATTCTAGTACCAGTTGGCGAACCCTAGTGTTGATCTTTAGGCTGTAAATTTAACTATTTCACATGTAATTTGTTAATTATTAAAAAATGTTGTTGTAGAAATGGGTACAGAAGACTTTAATACTGGTTAATTCATAGGCAAAGTTGAGAAACGTCCTGGAATATGGGATATGACAAGTAGGGATTATTCCAATAGGATTATGAGGAGACAAGCTTGTTAAGAAGTTGCCCTTTTATTCTGTGAAGAAGAAAACGACGTTAAAAAATAAAAATGTTGGGTAAGTAAATTCTCGCCATAAATGCTATACAAAAACCCAACGCCCGTTTAATAAAAAAAAAATAAGATAAATAAAAAATGTTTATTTACGTTTTCTTAAACCTAGTTTACAGCAAGTTTGCAGGGGAACTCCTTTTAAGCAAACTAATTGCTTGTGCTAGGAGACCCCGCTTTTCCTAGTTAGGGTACTATGTGACCAGGTAAGTTAGGTAAGCTTGGGTAACTTAGCTAATCTAGATTAATTAAAATAAAATAAAAATTTAAGACAAAAAATAAAATAAAATTTGAAATTGTATGTGTATAATGTGTGTGTGATTATGGGTGTGTATATGTAAGAGTGTGTGTGTGTTGGTGTGTGTGTGTGTATGTGTGCGTGTGTGTGGGTGTGTATGTGTGTGTGTGTGTGTGGGCGCGTGTGTGGTGTTTACAATCTATTGTACGATGTCCATAATGGATTCAGTCTCGTTATAATTTAGGGTCTGTAGCCAGTCATACACAACTTTTTTGCAATCGTGGGTCTTTAAAGTATAAATTAAGAGATTTTTATTAATTTTAGTGTACAGGTAAGATGCACGTCTATTTTCAGGTAAGATGCATGTTTAATGCTTGTCATGTAAACGTACCCTAAATATTATCAATATAATCATTATTATGAATAAATATTATCTTCTTCATTAATAGTAACCTATTAATATTTGAAATGTTATAAAATATCAAAGTGTAACAGACAATAACAAAATAATTGGTCGCAGTTCGTTCGCCAAAGAGTGCAGCAGTCGTTACTTGCGATTTATAAGCGATATAAATCGCGCGTTTGTATCGATACAGTCGCGCGCTTAGATCGCGCGTTTGCGTCGCTGCTAAAAATCGCACGCGTGTATGAGGCCGGGGCCGCACTGGTACGGAAAGCGAGAAGCCAGCAAAACGCCGCTACGTCGCTTAATGAATGGGTGGCCGCATCGGGCATGTTAGGCGGTCAGTGGCGGCCGCACTGACGCCACACGCGACGAATAGTCACGTTTGTATTGTGGAAAGTGGTGCGGAGTCTCCTTCGCAACTCTTCGCTCGAATGTGTCGCGCTCTTTCGAACGAACGCCACGAGGTCTGGTACGTCACCGCATATTTTGTCGTAAATCGTAACAGATCGCCGTCGGACCGCTGCTAGTCGTACGAAATTCGTACGAATAAGTGTCGTTGCGAGTCGCTGAATAATTTTATTTAATGCGGGGTGTCCGCATCATTACTTGTATCACATTTGAAATTTCTTTACGATATGAACAAATACATTTCGCTTGTAGTTTCTGCAGTGCTTCACCGACATATCTATGTTTATATGAGTTTGTTTTCACGAAATCGCCGTCGCGTCGCAGTCGCCTTAGGAGTGCGGCCGCGGCCTAAAGGTAGACGATTAACGACTTCATCGCGTTTGTGTGTTTAACCATTCTTAAATTAAAGCGAATTTGAAACAAAATGTATACGCAAGGTTAAGGGTATTCTATACACCCGAAGACTCGCGCAACAAAATGATGACGATGATAATGATGCTCAAAAAAACCTACGATTTGAGAATACGCCAAAAATACACGCAAAGAAAAATAGTAGGTAAATCATCGGAAAGAAACTGGCCGGTTTTCTTCACTGATCGTATTTGTAAACCAACAATTTTTAAAATGATATCACTATAATGATTGGGTAATACCATTGACTTACAAATAAATGGACGACGGGTCTAATAAAAAAACCACGAAAAAAATGTCCCAAGTCAACCTATTTAAACGTAGTGACATGTAAAGGAATATGAAGAAGCTAAAACGTTGAATTTAAATTCTAATTTTGCTTGCTTCGCTGTCAGTCGAACAAACGAAGACTAAAGCGTGAATGACGCTCTATATACGATTTTAACGCCCTATAAGTTCGGACACTTTTTAGCGCGGACCCGACGTCCATATAATTGTAAGTCAATAATAATAATACCATAATTTAACTTTTTAAATTGCTGGTGTTTACACACAGATTCATACGCGTTTCGAGCTTTCTTATTCATTCCGAGTCTAAAGGTTAAAAACGTAAACTTTAAAAAAAAACAATACAAGCATTGTAGTCCGGAGAGGCCCGGATCCGCATTTGAAAACAAATAGCTGAACATTTCTAACTTTTTCTGCAAACGGCGTGTACGTCGCTCTGGATGAAATGTTGTTGACCTAGACTAAACGTAAGGAAAGTAACAATATATGAAATGGAGATCGATATACACTTCCCTCATTCATTTAACGCGGAAGTTTTTAAAAATGAATAGAGTGTATAGCGATTTGTGACCATTGTACTCACACAATGGAAGTAATAATAGTTTGGAAGGGCATAGCTGCAACGATTTTCTGTTTTTAAAATTGCAAACTAAGAACCATGCTACGCTTTAGGGAGGTACAGTCATACCCGTCAAATAGCATTTTATGCAATGAGGGTTCAGTTCTGTTGCATAAGGAGGGTTCTGAATGTCACCATCGCCGAGTGGCCTAAATAGTAGGTATGAGATTTTAAGACCTAATTATGTATAATTACATACAATACTTTTTTAAATTATTAAACAGAACCAATAGTTAATGTATATTTTGTTAACAATCCAAGACAACAAGCGATTTTTTTTTATTTAATTTTATCCCATTTATAAAGGTACGCAAGGGTTTCACCTTACAGCCTCTTCGTATATTTAAACAAAGCCTAAAAAACGCTACAAAACAAAAAACAGAAGGGATATAATAGAGCTGGCCAAGTACCGCTTCCAATATAACCAATTATTTTTTTTTACATAAGCCCAATTGCAAGATTTTTAGACTAATTTAATAATAGGCAGTATAGCGTTTGTGTAGCGTCCGAATTGATATTTTAATTAGCAAAAATACGAGGTTCTTTTTTTGCAACTCATAGTTCTGTATACAGAATTTTAA